CGGATAGAGGGCTCTGGTTATTTGCCCGTGCCAGTGATAAAGAACAAGGCATGAGAAACACATGCAAAACTGGGGATGTTATCTTTTTGTTTCTCATATAAATTTCTAAACCATTTGATTTGTCCCTTTTGAAACTGGGCATTCATTTAGATTTTCTTATCTTTTTTTTTAAATTAAAGTTTTGTGTTTTTTTAAATTTTGTCTGCACTCGGTCTTTGTTGCAGCGTGCAGGCTTCTCTAGTTGTTCTGTGAGGGCTGAGTTGATCCACGACCTGTGGGGTGTTAGTTCCCTGACCCGGGGTGGAACCGGCACCTCCTGCTTGGGAAGGCGGGTTCTTAACCACCGGACCACCGGAGAAGTCCTGAGAATTTCTTACCTTTCTTGATTTCCAATGGGATCATCAATTTTTTTTTGTCTTTTTAAAAAAATTGAAATTAGTTAATTTGCAATATTGTGCTCATTTCAGGTGTAAAGCACCATGATTGTTACACACACACACACACACACACACACATATTCTGCAGACTGTCTTCCCTTAACAGTTACTACAGAATATGGAGCTGAGTTTCCTGTGGTATGCAGTAGGTCCTTATTGGTTATCTGTTTTATTATGTTAATCCCAGTTTTTTAAGCTGGATGTCTCTGGAACTGAAACTTTACTCAGCTTCTACTTATCGTGAGGGTAATTCCTAACAGTCTGCCCATCCTGGTCTCTGAAAGGTTTAAGGAGGCTCTGAATAGTTTTAGGAGGCTCTGACAAAGAACAGACTTGTTCGGCAACAGGGTCACAATGGAAGTCACCATGCTGTTCCCCAGTCAGAGTTGCAGAAACGGAATGAAATGACTCATGTTGAAAGGCCCGTGTCTGACATGTGGTATGTGATCATTAGCTCCTCTCCCCATGTGCGTTAATTAGTATTTAAAACACTGAAATACGTTTTGCTAAGAAAACCAACAGCTCCACAAAAGTAACATATATCATTTATTTTTATAGTTATTTCTTAAAAATAGATATTTCAGATACACCAAAATTATTGAAAATCATAATATGCCCCAATGTGCCACCTAGGTTTCAAAGGTTAACGTTTTGCCACATGTGCCTTAAATTCTTAATGACATGAAACCCTCCAAACTTGGTGGTGAGTCACCCTCCCTGCCCCAGCATACCTCATCCTTTCCCTGATTCTTTTTAAGAGCAGGTACATTCTTCAGCGTTTTCTAACTTTTACTGTATCTCTATATTTGTAAACTATATTTATAGTTACATAGTTCATACATAGTGTGTTGTGCGTTTTAAAAAGATACACTCACACAGTGCAGTGTGTCCTTTGAACCCGTGTTTTTACACACACATTTGAGATTTGAGTTGCATGTAAAACTACTTCCTTTTAGCTGCTGTGTGCTTCCCCTGTAGCTCAGTAAGTAGAGTCTGCCCGCGATAGAGGAGACCCGGGTTCGATCCCTGGGTCAGGAAATCCCCCGGAGAAGGAAATGGCAACCCACTCTAGTATTCTTGCCTGGAGAATCCCATGGACAGAGGAGACTGCCAGGCTACAGTCCATGGGGTCACAAGAGTTGGACACGACTTAGGATACCATTGGTCTGAAATATCCCATAGTTTATTTAGATACTTCATATGTATTATTTGTCACCAAGCACTGTTTTCATCTCTGATTCAGAGCAGGTATTCAAACCCAACTTTCTCTAATTCCATCAAGCAATGCATTCAATAAATACTAGGAAGATAAAATTTTAAAGAATGAGCTTGCAGACTGCCTGCTATATCTCTGGGATCTAAATGTAAAGGAAATTGGCTGTCCATCCTCTTGGCAAAGCAGGATCAGGGCAGCCTTGTCTTGCTGGGAGAAGGGGGTTGGTATGGGGCTACACTGCAGGAGGCCCCAGGACCCCAGGGGTGGTGGGTTAGCTACCTGAGATATTGGCTGAAGGGGTAAGCAAAAGATCCTCTCTTTATGGATAATAAATATTGGGGAATCAATGACATTAAAAAAATTAAAGTGTAGTTAATTTATAATGTTGCCTCAGTTGCAAGTGTACAGCAAAGCGATTCAGTTATACATTCGTTGTTCAGCTGTTCAGTCGTGTCCAAGTCTTTGAAACCCCATTGACTGTAGCACGCCAGGCTTCCCTGTCCTTCACCATCTCCTAGAGTTTGCCCAGACTCATGCCCATTGAGTCTGTGATGCCATCCCACCATCTCATCCTCTGTTGCCCCCTTCTCCTCCTGCCTTCAATCTTTCCCAGCATCACGGTTTTTCCACCTTGGCAACAGGTGGCCAAAGTTTATTGGAGCTTCAGCTTCAGCATCAGTCCTTCTAATGAATATTCAGGACTGATTTCTTTTAGGATTGACTGGTTTGATCTCCTTGAAGTCCAAAGGACTCTCAAGATTCTTCTCCAACACCACAGTTCAAAAGCATCAATTCTTCAGCACTCAGCTTTCTTTATAGTCCAACTCTCACATCCATGCATGACC